TCCTGGTGCATGCCGTCTCTCTCTCCTTTATAGTCCTCCTCCGCCAATCCAACTCGGCTGCCCAACACCGAGTACGCTGCTTCCAATCAGGAACAAGTCCTACAGTTATTGGTTGAACTGGAGGCAGCTGTGCGGAAGCTGTTTACTTCTCTCCCAGCGCCATATTGTGGGAGAGCAGATGCATAGAATAAGTCTTAATTCCAGTAACTCAGTCCAGTCCGGGCTGCTCCCCACACTTCCAAAGCTCATGGCTTTCCTATAGAGGGAACCACTGAGTACAATTCAACATTAACCATACCCAAGATATGGACAAAGTTGTGTCTGCAGTGAGAGAAGTTGAAGGTGTTCCTGTCACTTCTTTTTCTGCTAGGATTGGTGAGGAGACAAATAAGGATCTGCCTGAATTGTACTGAGAAGCCTTTGATGCAGGTGGTGGCTCAGCTCTCTCAAAACAGATAACTTTACCAGAGATCTGAAATTCTGTCACTGCAGAGAAGCCTTTGCTCTACATACTGGAATGGGTTGATCATGCACCCTGGATGAATCTGTTGCCTTGGCAACCATGATTGAGCGAATCAAAAGACACCTCAAACTAACTCATATTCAATTAGCTCTTGGGGTAGGAGGGACCTTAGCATCATGAGTCAAAGCTGTGGCCCTGTGTGCTGGTTCTGGGAGCAGCGTCCTGCAGGGTGTGGAAGCAGACCTGTACCTCAGGGGTGGGATGTCCCATCATGATGGTCTGGATGCTACTTCCCAAGGAATAAATGCCATCCTCTGTGAACACAGTAACACTGAATGAGGCTTTCTTTCTGACCTTTGTGATATTCTGGGTACCTGCTTGGAGAATTAGATTAATATTATCTTGTCAGAGACAGACAGGGCTCTTCTTTGTGTGGTATAAGGCATACAGAAACATCACGATGATACAACCTACAGATTGCATCTCCACTCATGTGGATATGCAACATGAGTCAGTGGAGCTGATATATCTTTCTGGAAGAGTATCTTAAGATGGATGAGGATGCTTCAAAAAGTTCATGGAAATGTTTATTTGAGAAACTACATAGATTAAAAAAATTTCACAAAATACACAACTTTTAGCTCCATTTTCTGCAAACCTTTCTTAACTGCCCTTATATTATCTTTTCTAGTTTATCTGGTTCAACAAATGTTATAGTTCATAAGGAAATAACTGAACTACCATAATGAAGAGCAAATACTAAGAAAGATCAACTAAAGATTTCTTGGGAAGTAACCAAGTAATTCTCTCCTTAGTTTAGTTATAGTTGGGATATGTTAACCTAGATATCTCTGCCATTGGTTAGTTTTAAATGTCCTTTAAAACTTGGAATTGAACACCTATTTTGGGGCAGTAGCCAGTTTGGGATGATATGGTCTGTCCCTGTGTCCATGTTCTGTAGGTCCACCTAAATTCCAGTGTTTCACCTCAGTTTCAGAATCAGCATGAGATGTATTAGGAGGAAGTTGTTTTTAATATGATTGCTATTCAGATTACTATGTCTTTATTGCTTTTTATTTTATAAAATAAACCAAATTATAACATTAGTCCAAGCCCTAATCCTTACCCTGGCCCTAGCCCTAGCCTTAGTCCTTACCCTAACCCTAAACCTAATCCTACATCTAAACCCATTCTGAAGCCTAATACTACGTCTATCGCTAGACAAAGCATTAACCCTAAATTTGGCCCTCATCTTAACCATAACCTTACCTTAACTCTATACTTAGCCAAAATCCTAATTGTATCCCAACATGGTGCTTTACCCCAATCTAAACTCTAACACTAGCACTAATCCTTTCCCTAACTTTAGCCTTAATAACACAAGCATTAGCCTTAATCCTAATCTGAGCCCCAACTCTAACCCTAACAGTAATACCAAAATTTAAACCTAACTCTGCCTTAACCCTAACACTAACCCTGGCCTAAAACCTATCCATAGTCCTAACTTTAACTATCACACTAGCTCTAACCATAGTCCTAACTCTGGCTCTAACTCTAAAATTTACCATAGAACTAAATCTAACCTTAATCTTAAACTAATTTTAAATCTCACCCCAACACTAATCCTATCTTTCTGCTTAGGCCTAACCCTAAAACAAACTAGCATTCAGTGTGAACTTGACCATAGACCTGATGCTAACTTCAATGCTATATCTAACACCAGCCTTAAACTAACCATCATGCTAACACAAAGACTAAGCCTCATCCTAGTGATGATGACCCTAACTTCAACTATAACTGTATATTATATATAACCACAGCTCTCTCTATATATTATAGATATATAACCATATTTATAACAATAAATATTTATAACCATATATAAAAATATATTATATATTATATATATATAAAATGTATATAAAACCACAGCTCTAACTTTATCCCTAGCCCTACTCCTAAATTATCCCTAATCCTAGCTCTATCTCTAGGCCTAACAATAGCCTTAACCCTATCTATAACTCTAATCACAAATCGAATCCTAAATATAACCCTAGTCCTGGACCTAATCCTTATTCTCACCCAAAAGCTAAACATAACTCTTTGTGTAGCCCTAACCCTAAGCCTAGCCCTAACCATAACCCTAACCATGGCTTTTAATCTAACCCTAGACCTAAGCCTAAACTTAACAGAACCCTAATCCTACAACTAGCCCCAACTCTTGCCATAAGCCTAATACTAACACCACCAACACTAAACATAAACCTAGCTCTAAATCTTACCCTAACCCCAACCCTAACAATAGCCTTAATAATAGCACTCAATCTAAACCTTAACACCAATCCTAGCTCTCATCCTAGTCCTAATACTAACCCTAACACTCACTCATCCTATACCTAGCCCTACACTTAACTTCTAACCCTAAATGGCAGAATTTACATTCACATGAGCTGTCAGGGTTTATATACACTTGAGTAACTGAAATGGTCAGAGAAACAGAAAGTGAGCCCAAGCCCATTTGTGTTTGAATGGTGCCATCATTAGTCACCAATTCTGAAAACACCACATTTTCAAGCAAATTGTTGTTAAACTTCTAGGTGTCACTGTGGTGATACATATGGGAAGGCTTGTGGCTTAGGATGAGAAAAACTGCAACTTGGCAAAAAATTTCAGAAAGCCTCAGTCAGTTATTGAAGTCTAATAGAGGCTTTATGAGTAACTGCCACGGATTGGTCCTCCAGTCCTAGTGTAAACTTTGTAACAGGAGGAAAACAGACAAAATGCTGAAAATGTATCATTTGAAACATATTAAGTGGAAAAATCCAATATAGAAGGCAGATCAAATGAATTTTATTGTCTACAAATAAAAAAATGAGCTGAATGCCAACAGTGGCTGTGCTCTATGATGAAAGATAATATCTGAGTAGTACTTGTGAAAATAAACTGCACCCTCTCAGGGAGGCCTGGAAAAGTGATGCTCACAGTCAAGCATGTAGATGTAATGGCTACAACACTCCACAGAAAAAGAAAACCTTGGATTTGATCCCAAGTCCAGCTCTAGACAACTCTTCAAACCACAAAAGAGAAAACGCATTTTGCATTTTTCCCCATCAGAGTAGCAGCAAAATATGCAGTCATGGGAGCAGGGAGGAAGGGGAGGACTGAGAAACAGTGTGCAAACCTAAATCGGTTTGTGATTTAATGGTGCTGTGACTTTGCACGTGTTCTCAAAACTGCCCATTTTAAAACAACTTTATCTTTGTATCTTCTTGTGGTGCATTGGCTTTGGGAAGTGGGTTGGCATGGGGACACAGGAAGTCACCTGGACCATTGGTCACCTTGTGGGCTGCCTTAGATGCTGGAACTGAAGGCACCAAGATCAGCAATGGGGTCCAGCTCTGAGATTAGACCCGAGGACTCTGGGGCTGGCCAAGGTATCTCAGCTTCCCAGCAGGTCCTGGAGGCTGGGGGTGCCTCATCTTGCCAGGCTCTGCCAGATTTCCCCAGGTGCCAAAGTCTATGCTGCAGGACAGGGTGCTGATGCCTCCCTGACCCCACTCCTGGCCTGCTCCCACCACTTGCCTCATAGCAAGCAGTGCTGGTTCCTTGAATGGATTCGCTATTGTGTACATGGCAGCTTAATTTTCTGACTTTGTGTTGACTCTGAAACCAGATGCTATGGAATTATAGAGATTTACTGTATTTACCCAGAGTAACTGAAATGCTGTTTGTAAAAATTCACCTGAGTATTTATTTTAAATACATAATTCAAGGTTTAGATGGTTTCATTTTTAGATGCTTAATTTTGGTAGCAAGCACAATATTTTTACAAAAATATTTGTAGGAATTTCTTTCCACCATAAATTCATATAATATAAAATGTGTGTTGTGACTGATGTTATCATTTGTTTGCTGCTGATACTGTAAGTTCATGGAAACTGAGGAACTCAGTAGCAAAACCTGCCCAATTCAGTAAGAGGTGGAGCTCACTTGTGCTTTTCATTCCTTTTCAACAGATGTCTCCCAGATTAGTTTCCATTACAGGAAAGATTCCTTTTTTGCAACATTTTATGTTTTCAGGTAGGAATTGGGAATGCTGCTTTCATTTTATAACCACAATGCTCTTCACAAGTGCCAGTAATGGGAGGAATGAATAATAGCTGAGATCCCTTGCCATGCCAGCTCAGCAAAGTAGAATAAACAGGAAATCAGATGTCATTAAGGAATTTTTTTCCCAAATGTACAAGGTTATATATATATATATGTAATATATTTTATCATATTTATACGATTTTATGTTATTAAATATTCATTATATTAATATGTAATATTTATTTTATTATATACATATATAATAAAAGAACAAGCACTTGCTAAAAACAAATACAGTGCCAATCTTAAATGATTTGGAGTGCTAGTTTGTTGTGTTTTGTATCTCAGCATATTGATTATATTCTTTTGTATGCATCAAATATTACATAAGAATGTAAAATGGTCTTTATAAAAGAGAAGTAAATATAAGAAAAGTAAATATTACTAATATGCAGCAGTACATATTTATTATTTGCAAATGGTTCAAAGCTTACAAGGCCCATTATTAATAGGATAACAACACATGTGAACTATGAGTTAGCAACATAGAGTGTAAAGGAAGTTACATATTTATATTAAAATACACAAGCAAATGCATACCAGTCTCTCTCAAGTGCTCAGCATACACTGCTTCAGAAGCAGGAGGCATGAAGCTGTAGCAGTTTGAATATACACAACATACTGAAATCTCTCAAGCATAAAAACTGTGCCTAATTTGCCATAATAGTTTCTTTCTTCAAGTTTTGGATCTGAACTCAAGCAAAGAAAATAATGAACACCAATGATTTTCATATTATGAAAATTTAACAGCCAGGGCCGTGGCTCACTAGGCTAATCCCTTACAATTGTTTTGAATAATTTAAGAATGGGGATCAGTTCTTCCTTCAAAGTTTGGTAAAATTCTGTTGCTTCTGGGCTGGCTCTGGGGCATAGAATGTCAAGCTTCCACCTGTAGTTTCTGCATCCCATATGGGTGCTGGTTCAAGCCTCAGGTGCTCCATTTCCAATCCACCTTTGTTCTAATGCACCTTGGGTCCCTGCACCCATGTGAGAGACCCAGAAGGAGTTCTGTGCTCTTGAATTTGACCTGGCCCAGCCCTGATCATTGCAGCAATTTGGGGAGAGAACCAGCAGACTGTAAAACTCTTTCTCTGTCTCTCTTCCTCTCCCCCCCTACCAGTATCTCTGTCTTGTAAATAAATAAATAAATAAATATTTTAGAAATGAATTCTGTCTCTTCTATAAATGATGTTTGGAAAGTTGGATTTCCACTGCTGTAGTTCAAAATCAAGCCTATATCTTACTCCCTATACAAGAATCAACTCACAATGGATCAAGGATCTAAACCTAATACCTGAAACCATCACATTACTGATGAACAACATAGGGGAAAGGCTATTGGCCTAAGCAATGAATTTTTGAATAAGATAGCAGAAGCAAGAGTAATAAAAAAAATACCAATAGACTAATGTGGTTACATCAATCTAAGAAATTGTTTCACAAAAAAAGAAAATAATTAACAAAGTGAAGAGGTAATGAAAACAATGAGAGAAAATATTTGAAAACTATGCATCCAATAAAGGATTAATATCAAGAATATATAAGGAGTTCCAGAAACTCAATAACAACAAAATAATCCAGTTAAAAATGTGCAAGGGCAGGAACAAGCATTTTTCAAAGGATGAAATAAAAAGGGCCAACATGGGGCCAGCACTGTGGCATAGCAGGTAAAGCCACCGCCTGCAATACCAGTATTCCATATGGGTGCTGGTTCAAGTCCCAGCTGCTCCACTTCTGATCTGGCTCTCTGCTATGGCCCAGGAAAGCAGTAGAAGATGGCCCAAGTCCTTGGGCCCCTGCACCCACGTGGGAGACCCAGAAGCTCCTGGCTCCTGGCTCCGGACTGGCTCAGCTCTGGCCATTGCAGCCATTTGGGGAGTGAACCATTGGGTAGAAGCCCCCCCCCCCGTGTGTAACTCTGACTTTGAAATAAATAAATGCATCTTTAAAAAAAAGGCCAACAGACAGATGAAAAAACTCCAGGATGACTGCCATCAGGGAAATGCAAATACAAATTACAGTGTGGTGTCACCTTACCCCAGCTAGAATGCTATCATTCAAAAATCAAAAATGGAAAATGCTGGTCATATCACTCATAAATATTCTGAAATAAGCATTAAAACTATCACTCACCTAGTTTTCCTATTGCTTTTCTAGTGTATCCATAATAGCCTGTTTCTTTTGATTTTTTCTCATCTCCTTTTTAAACAGAAGTGCTGTAGAGCTCAATCTTTGATATTCTTTCTAATGACTTTTACATCCTTGTTTGCACTAATGGTTTCCAAATTTGTATCTCCAGCCCAGGAACCCCTCCTTAATTTCAGATTGGTATATCACACTGCCTACTTGAGATTTCTCTTTGATTATCCATTGTGTATTTAAATCCCAAAAGGTCCAAAATATTACTAATGTTATTCTTTCTCATACCTGTCATTTAGGTAGTCTTCCCTACTTGAGTTAATGGCAGCTTCTGCAGTTGCTGTGCTGAGATCCACAGTGCAATTATTTACTTATTTATTTTTTTGCCAGGCAGAGTAGACAGTGAGAGAGACAGTTATTGAAAGTGAGAGAGAGAGAGACAAAGATAAAGGTCTTCCTTCCATTAGTTCACCCCCCCAAATGGCCTATGGCTGGTGCGCTGCACTGATCTGAAGCCAGGAGCCAGGTGCTTCCTCCTGGTCTCCCATGCAGATGCAGGGCCCAAGCACTTGGGCCATCCTCCACTGCACTCCCTGGACATAGCAGAGAGCTGGACTGGAAGAGGAGCAACCAGGACAGAATCCAGTGCCCCAACTGGGACTAGAATCTGGGGTGCCAGTGCTGCAGGTGGAGGATTAGCCTAGTGAGCCACAGCACTGGCCCACAGTGCAATTCTTGATTAATCTCTTTCACAACTCCTCTCTTGTCTGTAAACAAATCCTATCAAGCGTACCTCAAAAATGTGTCCAGAGGCGCAAAATATCTACCTTTAGTTCACCAACAGATGCAGTCTATATTAGTAGGCTAATTGCTTTTCTCCATTGTTTTTAAATGAAATACTCAGTTAATTGATTTTAATGCAGGGGTCTGCTACAAATGAATGATGAAAATTGTTTATGTGATCAGGATAAAAAAAGTAAACTAAATCCTTCATTTTCTTTTGCAAAAATGTTAGCAGTGATAACTTTTTCTGGAAATAAAAACAGGATTGTATCTTCCCTGGGTCATAGCAAGAAAATATTTCACTATATCAATGACCTTGAATGATTTACAGGTGGCTGATAATTGAATTTGTTAAGGAACCATTTCAATAGATGGTTGCTATAGAATTGAGTGATATGGATAAGTTCAGAGAACTTAAAACATTTTTACTAAGAAAAGCAATAGAAAAGTTGGTGATAATTGAGGAATGTGGAATTCTAAGAAGTTTTCTTTTAAAAATTAATCAATTACAATATGTTTTTACAGTGCTTTAAGTGATCTGGTAGAGAAGGCTGTGTTTATTCTATATACCTTTGTTTGCATGTGGAGGCAGTAGAAATCTTGAAACATATTTTATAAATTTACTGTGACAAAATATACGTATGTTAGCAAAATTGATACTTTAAAATGTGAATATGGTGGGAGGTGGCAAGATGGCGGAATAGGAAGGGAGCACACTGATAGTCTGGGGAGAGACAGTTTAATAAAAGTGGAGATACTGCAGGTTCAAGGAAGAGTAGGGGAAGAAACAGCAGAAGAAACTTTTCCGGAATGCATGATTCACAGTGGACCTGTGTGGAGAGCATGGGAGCCCACAGTTCGGGACACCAGCAGCAGACTCAACACACCAGTGCTGGAACGTGAGGTGAGCCGAACCTCAATAGCCTGAGACACCGGCAGGCAAGCGGAAAAAGGAGACTAGAGGGAATGAACCCCCAGGGGGAAAAGTTCACCAGGCTAACTAGAAGAGAGAGAGAGAGAAAAGAAGTGACTGGTACGGACACGGGTTTCTCTCTCTCTGCTCACCTCTCAAAGGTGAGCAAGACAAAGAGCAGGCGCCATCTTGGACATACGTCATAAGCAGAGTGACCTCAGATCTGCACCGGCCCTGAGCCTAGCAGAAAAACCTGACTCTGGGTGGGGGGAATTAACAGGAGATTAGGACCTAGTAAATTTGTGGTACTACTGAACTGAGACTGTGAAAAAAGAGATGGTGGGGGAGAGAACTCAAAGAATTCATGTGAGTACTCTCCAGAGACGCTACAATTCCGTAACTTTGGCAACCCAATGGGAGACTGAAGGAGACTTTGAGCCCACTCTGAGGGCAGAACAGATTCCCTGTGTGGTCCTTGGGAAAGAGCTTCCAATCTCTGGCTCCTGTGGGTATATCATTTGCCTGCTAACTACCTCTGTAATTAATACACAGTCTTAAGTGTTGAAATTTAACTGAAATGTGATCACTGTTAAATATAAGAGTGGGAATAAGAGAGGGAAGAGATGTATAATTTGGGACAGGCTCAAGCTGACTTGCCCCAAATGGTAGAGTTAAAAACATACCAGGGGATTCCAATTCAATGCCATCAAGGTGGCATGTACCAATGCCATCTCACTAGTCCAAGTGATCAATTTCAGTTCACAATTGATCATAATGAAAGGACTAAGAGTCAAAGGGAGCATATAAATAAGTCTAGTACCTGCTAACACTAACCGATGGAATAAATAAAGGAGAGAGTGATCCAACATGGGAAGTGAGATACTCAGCAGACTCATAGAATGGCAGATGTCCTAAATAGCACTCTGGCCTCAGAATCAGCCCTAAAGGCATTCAGATCTGGCTGAAAAGCCCATGAGAGTATTTCAGGCATGGAAAGCCAAGACACTCTGGCAAAAGATCTCTGCGAGTGAGATCCCAGTGGAAAGAACAGGTCTTCAAAGAAGGAGGTGCCTTTCTCTGAAGGGAGGAGAGAACCTCCACTTTGACTATGACCTTGTCTAAACAAGATAAGAATCAGAGAACTCAGAGGGCTTCCATAGCCTTGGAAACTCAGGGCCGGAGCATAGGGAGACTACTGATGCCATAGACAGGAGTGTCAATTGGTAAAGTCAACAACAGGAGTCACTGTGCACTTACTCCTCATGTAGGATCTCTGTCCTTGATGTGCTGTGTATTGAGATTTAATGCTATAACGAGTACTCAAACAATATATTTCACTTTGTGTTTCTATGGGGGTGCAAACTGTTGAAATCTTTACTTAATACATACTAAACTGATCCTCTGGGAAAAAAAAAAAAAGAAAGAAAGAAATTATCAACTCCCAATTTGACTCTCACTGGGATTAAACATGACAATAGGTCTGATCTGATTTCATCATCATTTAAAAAAAATCATCTATTATTTCTCACTTTATGTTTCTGTGTGAGATCAAACTGTTGAAATCCTTACTTAATGTATACTAAGCTGATCTTCTGTATATTAAGATAATCGAAAATGAATCTTGATGTGAATGGAAGGGGAGAGGGAGTGGGAAAGGGGAGGGTAGTGGGTGGGAGGGACGGTATGTGGGGGAAGCCATTGTAATCCATAAATCGTACTTTGGAAATTTATATTCATCAAATAAAAGTAAAAAAAAATAAAAAAATAAAAAAAAGAATTCACACTTTTTTGTGTGCTGTCAGTGATCACCCAAGGCTCTTGACATGAGCTGTCTAGGCTATGGAAGCCTTCTGAATCCACAAGCTCCATCAATATTTAGAGAAGGCTGTAAGCAAAGTGAAAGTTCTCCCTTTGAAGAGAGTACATCCTTCTTTGATGACCACTTCTTTCCACAGGACTCTCACCCAGGGAGACTCTCCATGTAGGCACACCTTTTTGCATAAGTGTCCTAACTTTCCATGCCTGAAATGCTCTTGTGGGCTTTTTAGCCAGACCAGAATGCCTTTAGGGAGGACTCTGAGGTCATTGAGTGTTACTTAGAGCAATTGCCATTCTATGAGTCTGCTGTATGGACTGCTTCCCATGTTGAAGCATTTACTTCTCTTTAATTCTGTTAATTCTATCGATATGATCACTTTAACAATTGGTGCCTTCTATATGACCAACTTAAAACTTAATGCAATCAAATACAGTCACTTTTAACCTTAATCATATATATATATATATATATATATATATATATATATATATGTTAAAACTTAAGATGTCACTTTCACCATCTAGCCCAAGGGGATGAGAGACATTTCTGGAGAATCTGAACTTATACTGAGGACTACACAGATCCTTTGTGTGGTTCTTTGGACAGAGCAGACAAATATTATACCCACTGGGGCTAGTACTCAGGCACTGGTCTCCATTGAGGAGAAGAGCCCAACTGAGCAGAAGATGCTTCCCTTCTGATCAAAAAAAGGAGAAATAAGACATGCCAAAATTGGGTGTGTCACCTGAGGCACACCCTTAACCCTGGAGACTGAACAGAGCTCTCTGGCCACATCCACTACTAGCCTCCAGAGATTCAGAGAAAGCAGAAAGTCCACTTATCTACAGTCATAGTACAAAGATAAAATCTGCCACAGTGGAAAAAAAATAAAAAAGAAGAAATCTTGCTGGTCTGGACAAGTGGTGGCAAATTCTTTCAATTTCTGTTTGTTATGAAAGGTCTTTATTTCACCTTCATTCACAAATGAGAGCTTTGCAGCGTATAATAATCTGGGATGACAGCTTTATTCTCTTCAGACTTGGACTAGATTTTGCCATTTTCTCTTAGTCTGCAGGGTTTCTGATGAGAAGTCTGCTGTGAGTCTAATTGGAGATCCTCTGAGAGTAATCTGATGTTTCTCTCTTACGCGTTTTAGAATCTTGTCTTTTTGTTTCACTGTGGCAGTTTGATTACAATGTGTCATGGCAAGGATGTTTTCTGACCATGTCTATTCAAAGTTCTGTGTGCTTCCTGTACTTGGATGTCTCTTTCTTTTTCCAAACCCAGGAAGTTTTCTGCTAGTATTTCACTAAAAATGCCTTCTAATCCTTTCTCTCTCACCATGCCTGCAGGAACTCCTAGAACCAGAATGTTGGTCTTATTTTTTTTTTATATAGTATCCTGTAGATTCCCAACAATCTTTTTTAGATTTCTAATCTCCTGGTCTTGTGTTTGGTTTGACTGTATACTTTCCTGTATAACATATGATTCCCATATAACATATGATTTATAAAGGCTTTTCCACACTCATTAGATTCATAAGGTTTCTGCCCTGTGTGAATTGTTTTGATATGAGGTATAACTTATAGAAAAAGGCTTTTCCACAGTCATTACATTTATAAGGTTATTTCCCTGTGTGAATCCTCTGATGCATTTGGAGTTGGAACTTAAAATCAAGTTTTTCTGCAGTCATTACACTCATGAAGTTTCAACACTGTGTGTATTCTCTGGTGCATTATGAGGTTTGACTTTTGTCCAAAGGCTTTTCCAGTCATTACATTCATAAGGTTTCTGCCCTGTGTGAATTCTCTGATGCATGATGAAGGTTGACTTATGGCTAAATGCTTTTCACAGTTATTACGATCATGAGTTTTCTACCCTGTGTGAATTCTCTGCTGTGATATGAGGTTTGTCTTTTGTCCAAAGGCTTTTCCAAAATCATTGCATTCATGAGGCTTCTTCCCTGTGGGAATTCTCTGATGTTTCCAAAGGATTGACTTTTATCCAGAGGCTTTCCCTTGGTCATTACATTCATGGGGTTTCTCCCCTGTGTGAATTCTCCAGTGTGATATGAGGTGTGATTTCCATACAAAGGCTTTTCCGCAGTCATTACATTCATGAGGTTTCTGCCCTATGTGATTTCGCTGATGTATCATGAGGCCTAACTTATGGCCAAAGGCTTTTCCACAATCATTACATTTATGAGGTTTCTCCCCTGTGTGAATTCTCTGGTGTACGATGAGCTGTGACTTTCGTCCAAAGGCTTTTCCAGTTATTACATTCATGAGGTTTCTCCCCTGTGTGAATTCGCTGGTGTACGATGAGGTTTGACTTTCGTCCAAAGGCTTTTCCACAGTCATTACATTTATGAGGTTTCTGCCCTGTGTGAATTTGCTGATGTTTCCTGAGGTCTGACTTTCGTCCAAAGGCTTTTCCACAGTCATTACATTTATGAGGTTTCTCCCCTGTGTGAATTTGCTGATGTTTCCTGAGATCTGACTTTCGTCCAAAGGCTTTTCCACAGTCATTACATTTATGAGGTTTCTCCCCTGTGTGAATTCTCTGGTGCACTATGAGGCTTGACTTTTGTCCAAAGGCTTTTCCACAGTCATTACATTCATGAGGTTTCTCCCCTGTGTGAATTCGCTGGTGTATTTTGAGGTCTGACTTTTGTCCAAAGGCTTTTCCACAGTCATTACATTTATGAGGTTTCTCCCCTGTGTGAATCCGTTGGTGCACAATGAGGTGTGACTTTTGTCCAAAGGCTTTTCCACAGTCATTACATTCATGAGGTTTCTGCCCTGTGTGAATTCGCTGGTGTATTTTGAGGCATAACTTTCGTCCAAAGGCTTTTCCACAGTCATTACATTTATGAGGTTTCTCCCCTGTGTGATTTTGCTGGTGCACGATGAGGTCTGACTTTTGTCCAAAGGCTTTTCCACAGTCATTACATTTATAAGGTTTCTCCCCTGTGTGAATTCGCTGGTGTAGGATGAGGACTGACTTTTGTCCAAAGGCTTTTCCACAGTCATTACATTTATAAGGTTTCTCCCCTGTGTGAATTCGCTGGTGTATGATGAGGTCTGCCTTTCGTCCAAAGGCTTTTCCACAGTCATTACATTCATGAGGTTTCTCCCCTGTGTGAATTCGCTGGTGTATTTTGAGGCATGACTTTCGTCCAAAGGCTTTTCCACAGTCATTACATTTATGAGGTTTCTCCCCTGTGTGAATCTGTTGGTGCACAATGAGGTGTGACTTTCGTCCAAAGGCTTTTCCACAGTCATTACATTCATGAGGTTTCTCCCCTGTGTGCATTCTCTGGTGTTTGATGAGGTCTGACTTCCATAGAAAGCCTTTTCCACAATGAAGGCATTTATAAAGTTTCTCTCCTGTGTGAATTCGCTGATGGTTTATGAGGCTTGACTTTCGTCCAAAGGCTTTTCCACAATCACTACATTCATGAGGTTTCTCCCCTGTGTGAATTTGTTGGCGTTTCCTGAGGACTGACTTTTGTCCAAAGGCTTTTTCACAGTCATTACATTCAGAAGGTGAATTAAAACTGAGTGATTTTCCACAAGGTTTACATGTGTAAAGTTTTTCCCTTGTATTTAGTCTCTGGTTTATTGTAAGATGTGACTGGTGAATGACAGGTTCAACATACATAATGTACTTATAAAATTTCTTTCTTGTGTGAGTTTGTTGATGCATACTGAGGCTAGAATTTCCATAGATAGCCTTTTCTATTTGAGTTGCTTTTCCAAAAGTGACAGTTGATTTATTACAGTTTTCTGCCATATGAACCCTCTCAGATTTACAGAACATCTTTCTTGTGAAGACTTTTGCTTGTCCAGTGGGTCCAAATGGCTGCTTCATGATGTGAATCTTGTCATGCTGACCAAGAGGCTCACAGAACTGGAGAGGTTTTCCAGGTATCTTAGTGTTATCAAATTTCTCTTCACCCTGTAGTTGATCAGGCCCACTGGGGGGATACACAGTGTGACATTTATTGCATTCCTCAGGCTTCAATCCTGAATAGATTCCCTTTTGAATAATCAGTGTTGGAATATGGCTTGAATTTAAACTAAGTGTTTTTCTTAATTCAACTCTCTTGAGAGCTGATGTCTTCTTATTTTTCATAAAATCCTGATTCAGATTGTTGTCCTGACTTTCCTGGTTGATCCTAATCAGGTCATCCCTTTTCATGCCCACTGAAATGAGAAAAAAGCAATCATGTCACTGAATCACATGTAACTGTTTCTCCTGGCATACTCATGTAAAGGCAATGAAGTTACTTGTTATCCAAGTGGCATAAGATTTTCACAAAATCAGTATGAAGTACTTATTTGTGACCATTATATGGTTTTTCTCCTTAATACATTAATATACCATGAGGTTTCCCAATGTTCAAACATGATCCTTTTTACTATGGGAATTTGTCAAGGATGGTAGAATGACATTTGTGCTATGATGTGTGGGATGCCTGCATCTCAAAACAGTGTCAGTTTGAGCCCTGGCTACTCTGCTTTCAGTACAGCTCTCTGCCTATGTAAACTGGAAGGAAGCAGATAATGGTTCATGTGCCTGGGAACCTGTGAGAAACCAGGGAAGACTAGAGGGATTCTAGAGTTTTGGCTTCAGACTAGTTAGACCTAAGTGTTGCAGGCATCTGGGAAGTGAGCTAATAGAGGACCTCTTTCTCTCTCTTCTCTCACTATCACTCTGCCTTTCACAAAGATGAAATATCTATAAAATATTTTAAAGAATGGAAAAGTATTTAATAAAAATATTCACCCACTACCTAGCAACCATTTTTTTCCCTGTCCTTTTTCTCCAGTTTATTTTTATAAAAATTGTGTGCTTTTTGCTTCTCTGATATCTCCACCATAAACATGAAAAAGTTTTACTGATCATTTACTTGCAGGTGGAGAAGAGTGAAATGTGCCTGTACTTTAAGCAGGACAACATTTAAGGAGTAGGATTTGAATCTATGAGTGTCTCATGCTCAGTCTTCCTAGGTAAACATCATTTGTGGGATTTTTCAAATGAAAAACTACTTTGTCTCTACTCTATGACAGCTTCCCTAAATTCCTAAGGACACCCAACACCTTCAGCTTCTCAGAAGTACAACAGGTACAGAAAATTCCCAATATACCACTTTAGCTAAACACTCCCAATCAGTTTGAAGAATTTGTTTCTGCAAACTGGGATGTGCTCATCTTCTTTGAAAAGTGTTTTCTAGCTCATTCTGAAATCATCAGTGCTGGTTACCTCCTCTCAATTCTTTCTAGAAGCATTCCTGTGTGATAATTTGAATTTCTGGAGGCTTTTGATCAGTTGCCTCCTATTTTCACTGAAAGCTCCATTTCCTATGCTTTTCTTATCTTTTTATTTGCTTATTTTTCAATGATACTGAAAAATAAGAGAGAAATCATACTTCAAACTCCACCCTTAAAGAAATCTGAGCCACCCAACATAAACCCACAAGGCTACTTGACCTTGGGTCTCAAAATCTCATTACTTTCTTGGTGAGTCTAGGATCACTTATTTTCATGGTTTTTATAAGTTCATGCTTAGTTTAGGATTTCTTTTTTTCAAAGAATTATTTTATTTATTTGAAAGCTAAAATTATATAGAGAGATAGAAACAGAGAGAAGTCTTCCATCTGCTGGTTCACTCCCCATATGGGCACAACCAGTGCTGGGCCAAGATGAAGTTAGGAGCCAGGAGTGTCTTTCTTGTCTCCCACATGGGTACAGGGGGCCAAAGACTTGGGCCAACCTCTGCTCTTTTCTCAGGTGCATTAGCAGAGAGCTGGATTAGAAGAGGACTAGCTGGGACTTGAACTGGCACCCATATGCAATGCTAGTGTTGCAGGCTGGAGCTTTAACACACTGCATCATAGTATCATTCCTAGCTTCATAATTTCTGATGTCACAGCACAGAGGCTTACTCATGACCATCTTTTATTTTTAAAGATTTATTTGAAATTCAGAGTTACACAGAGAGGAGAGGCAAAGAGAGAGTAAGGTCTTGATCCAATGGTTCACTCCCCAATTGGCCACAACGGCCAGAACTGTGCTGATCTGAAGGCAGGAGCCAAGAACTTCTTCTGGGTCTCCCTCGGGTGCAGGGGTCCAAGGACTTGGAACATCTTCTACTGCTTTCCCAGGCCATAGCTGAGAGCTGGATCAGAAGTGGAACAACTGGTGCCCATATGGGATGCTGGTGCTTCAGGCTAGGGTGTTAATTCACTATGCCACAGCACCAGAAACATGATCATCTTTTAGCATTTACTTATTTACTTACTGAGAAAGCAGTAGAAGATGGCCCAAGTCCTTGGACCCCTGTATCCATGTGGGAGACCTGGAAGAAGCTCCTGGCTCCTAGCTTCAGATCAGTACAGCTCCAGCCATGGCAGCCAATTGGGAAGTGAACCAGTGGATGGAAGATGGGAAGACCTCTCTCTCTTTCTCTCTCTGCCTCTCCTCCTTCTCGTGCTCTGACTTTCAAATAAATAAATCTTAAAAAAAAAAAAAACAGAAACAGGCCAGCGTGGCAGCTCAATAGGCTAATCCTCTGTCTGTGGCACCAGCACATCAGGTTCTAGTCCTGGTCATGGTGCCGGATTTTGTCCAGGTTGCCCCTCTTCCAGGCCAGCTCTCTGCTGTGGCCCAGGAGTGCAGTGGAGGATGGCCCAGGTCCTTGGGCCCTACACCTGCATGGCAGACCAGGAGAAGCACCTGGCTCCTGGCTTTGGATCAGTGCGGTGTGCCAGCCACAGCACACCGGCCATGGTGGCCATTGGAGGGTGAACCAATGGCAAAAGGAAGACCTTTCTCTCTGTCTCTCTCTCTCACTGTCCACTCTGCCTGTCAAAAAAAAAAAAAAAAAAAAAAAAAAAAAAACCAGAAAAATTGATCTTAAAAAAATAAGTTTCTGTATGTTGCCTAATTAACAAGCATAGAAGGAACTAATAAGTGCATGAAGGAAAAGGTATGAAAGTATAGAGAAGGACAAGGTAGAATTTGGGGAATGTATCAAACCTAAATAAAAGCCTTAGTAACATCAGAAAATGACTGGATTTTTTTTTTAATCAAAGAACATCTTCACTAAGAACAAAAGTTAGAAAGATATTGGTATCTCTAAATGCCTGTGTCTGATGCACAAAACCAGCTGTCATCAGGAGTAAGGCTTGAGAAAAATTCATGGAAAGAACACCAGTCAACACCTGCACACTTTCTGCCTTGGCCTCCCTGTATCTTATGTGCAGACTGACCTGGAAGGCTCTCATTCAAGCATTCGTCCACCATCCATGGCTCTGCTCCTTGCTCCAACTTGAAGATTAAGTCAGGTTTGGTAATGCAGTGCCCTATTAATGGAAACAAAGTAAGACTTTGTGAAATCACTATCTTGGGTTATTTGAAGGACTACAGCTTGGTTCAGGAGCTATGCAACAAATGTTCCAATTTGAATCTTTTGTTAGATGGTAGATGTTCAGATTATTCATGGACTCAAATTCTAATCCTGCCCAATATTAAACATTATAAACTGTTCCCTTATTTATCAAATAGCAAGAAAATGTTATCACTGGGCATGTGAAGGGTGTCACTCACCCAAGGAGAACAGGCTGCTGTAGGTCTCCAGCATCACATCTCTGTACAGAATTTTCTGAGCATTGTTCATTTTCTGCCATTCCTCCCACGTAAAGTACACAGCCAGGTCTTCAAATGCTGTCATCACCTATAATATTACACTTCCAGTCAACATGTTAACTCCATCACAAAATAAACACTGACCGTTGTGTATGGTTATGAAGGAAAAAAGGAAGGATATGGTGTCACATTAGACTTGTTGAGTGTTTAGAAAGCCACACAGAGCATTCAACAGAGTCAAACCCATTATCTACTGGCTGTGAGAAATGCCCAAGCTAGAGGGAAACAGGAGGTTCAAATCACAAAGGCCACATCTGTCAAGGGGAATTGCACAGCAGGCTAGAAGAGGGGCAATACTGACTCTTGAATGGGCAATGTTAAGGAGAAGTATGTAGAAGCATCGAGAAAAAAAGGCAAGAAACCATCAGTGAAATTACGATGGGAATGAACAGAAAACAATTTCCAGGAAAACACCATGCATATCATTTCCAATATGTCAGAGAAAAAATATATTAAAAGACAGGGCAGACATTTAGCTTAGTGTTGTTTATGATGCCACCTCAGAGTGTCTATGATTTCCAATGCCAGCTCTAGTTTCTAGCTCCCAGATAATGCAAACCTGGGGAAGCAATGGTGATGTCACCAATGAAGGAGGCCTAGATTCCATTCCTCAATCCTGGCTTCAGTCCTACCCCACCTATTTGGTATGGTTATCTAGGAAGTGAATTAATGTGTCAAAGCTCTCTCTCAGTCCATCAACTTTTTTCTCTATCAAGCTAATAAATATTTTTAAGTAAGAAAATACAGGTAAGACAAAGAATACAAATTAGCTTTTGCCCTTGTCTATGATTATTCTACTGATAAACAATTGAAATAACATTATACCGGCTGGCGCCGCAGCTCAATAGGCTAATCCTCCACCTAGTGGTGTGGCACACCGGGTTCTAGTCCCGGTTGGGGCACCGGATTCTGTCCTGGTTGCCCCTCTTCCAGGCCAGCTCTCTGCTATGGCCCGGGAGTGCAGTGGAGGATGGCCCAAGTGCTTGGGCCCTGCACCCCCTGGGAGACCAAGAGAAGCACCTGGCTCCTGGCTTCAGATCAGCACGGTGCACCAGTCGCAGCGCGCCAGCCGTGGCAGCCATTGGAGGGTGAACCAATGGCAAAAAAAAAAAAAAAAAAAAAAAAGGAAAACCTTTCTCTCTGTCTCTCTCACTGTCCACTCTGCCTGTAAAAAAATAAAGGAAGAAAGAAATAAAGAAATAACATTATATCTAATTAAAGTGAAAGCAATGGAAATACTTGCCCAAAACATTCAAATGATAAACATTTGAAATAACATTATACATAATTAAAGTGAAAGCAATAGAATTATTTGCCCAAAAAGAGAACCTGGGAATGTCTGCAGTACAATCTGCATTTGTGACTCACTGAGAAAAATGCTTAGAGATTTATTTCAGAACCTGCAATAGTCACCAGAATGGTGATCCAGCAGGCTAAGCCTCCACCATCAATGCTGGCATCCCATGTAAACAGAGGACTTGAGTCCTTGCTGCTCCACTTCCAATCTAGTTCCCTGCTAATCTGATTGAAAGAGCAGTGAAAATGGCTTGAGTATTTGGATCCTTCCACCAGTGTGGGAGACCCATGGAGTCCCAGGCTCCTGGCTTTGGCCTGGCCCAGTCCCAGCCATTGTGGGCATTTGGGGAATGAAACAGTAGATAGAAGATATCTCCTTTTGTCTCCCTGTCTCTCCCAATCTCTGCAAGTCCACCTTTCAAATAAATAAATAAATATTTATTTATTTGAAAGTCAGAGTTACACAGAGAGAGGAGAGGCAGAGAGAGAGAGGTCTTCCATCTGCGGGTTCAGTCCCCAATTGGCTGCAATGGCTGGAACTGCACCAATCTGAAGCCAGGAACCAGGAGCTTCTTCTGGGTCTCCCACATGGGTTCAGGGGCCCAAGGACCTGCCATCTTCCACTGCTTTCCCAGGCCATAGTAGAGAGCTGGAGCAGAAGTGGAGCAGCTGGGTCTCAAACTGGTGCCCATATGGAATGTCAATGCTTTAGACCAGGGCATTAACCCACTGAGCCACAGAGCTGACCCCATATTTTCCATTTTAATTAACTAGTATACTGGGACTGGCACTGTGGCATAGCAGGTAAAGCCACTGCCTTCAGTGCTGGCATCCCATATTGGTGCCAGTTCAAGTCCCAGTGGCTTCACTTCCAATCCAGCTCTCTGCTATGGCCTGGGAATTCAGTAGAAGATGGCCTAAGTCCTTGGGCCCCTGAACCCATGTGGGAGACCCAGAAGAAGCTCTTCACTTCTAGCTTTAGATTAGTGTAACTCCGGCCATTGTGGCCAACTGGGGAGTGAACCAGCAGATGGAAGACTCTCTCTCTCCCTCTGCCTCTCTGAAACTCTTTCAAATAAATAAAAATATCTAAAAAAATAAATAAATAAACTAGCATTAAACACCTAAAATGAGTACTGACAAGCTGGGGAATAATTAAAAAAAAAAAAACACTTACAGGTGATATATTAATTTTCTTTCCTCTTAGAAAGATGTGGAGGACCCAGAATCATACCTGGGAGAGAAGGTGAATGGCAGGAGTTCAAAGAAAACTCTGGAGGCCAACGCTGTGGCATAATGGGTAAAGCTGCTGCCTGCAGTGCCAACATTCCATATGGGTTCTGGTTCGAGTCCTGCCTGCTCAACTTACAATCTAGCTTTCTGCTATGTCCTGAGAAAGCAGTGAAACATGGTCCAAGTCCTTGGGCCACTGCACCTGCATGGGAGACCCAGAAGCTCTTGGGTCTTGGCTTTGGATCGGCTGAGCTCCAGCCTTTGCAGTAATTTGGAGGGTGAGCCAGCAGATAGAAGACTTTCTCTCTCTGCAACTCTTTCAATAAATAAATGAAATCTTAAAAAAAAAAAAAAAAAACACCCTCTGGTTTCCTTCTGCACTGAACAGTGCGAAAAAAAGGATACAATAGAATGAATAAAGAATAATAAATACATTAACCAAGAAAACATCAGCTTCACTGTGGAGGAATAAACCTGTAAAAATAGAAATACATAGGAAAATGCACCCACCTATATTAAGTGGCAGAGATTAAACAGAAGTTATCATTGGTTTAACGAAAGCATTATCTACGAATTTTGTAAAATAATAATGTAAAAGTAAAAAGAAATGTTGAGTGTTCAAATGAATGAGGTTATCAGAGGTAAACATTATGTTGTTATTAAAGTTTATACTAAAGAAAGTTAACAAATGCACATAATGTATATTTAATGCAGTGCACTTTACCAGTAATGATTCCAAGTAGCACCTTTCCCTGAATTCATCCCTTCACAAAACCCTGGATTGGGGCTGGCACTTTGGCCTAGTGGGTAAAACTGCCACCTGCAGACTGGCATCCCATATAGGCACTGGTTTGATTCCCAGCTGCTCCACTCTGATCCAGCTGTCTGCTATGGCCTGGGAAAGCAGTAGAAGATGGCCTAAGTCCTCGGGCCCCTGTACCCATGTGGGAAACCCAGAAGAAGCTCCTGGATCCTGGCTTTGGATTGGCACAGCTCTGGCCATTGCAGCCAACTGGGGAGTGAACCAGCAGATGGAAGAGCTCTCTCTCTCTCTCTCTGCCTCTCCCTCTCTCTGTGTGTGTAACTCTTTCAAATAAATAAATAAATCTTTTAAAAAAAAAAGACCCTGAATTTCACCATTTCACTTGATTTACCCAATGAGATACCAGTAAATGTGATAGAAAGAGACAATTTGTTAAAATATTTATTTGTATGAAAGAGTTACATAGAGAAGGAGAGGCAGAGAAGAGAGAAAGGGGGACGGAGAGAGGGAGGGAGGGAGGGAGGGAGGGAGAGAAGGAGGAGAAAGAGAGGTCTTTGAACTGCAGGTTCACTCTCCAGATGGCTGCAATGGCTGGAGCTGTGTAGATCCAAAGATATGAACCAGGAGCTTCTTTCAGGTCTCCCACAAGGGAGCAGGGGCCAAAGGACTTGGGCCATCTTCTACTGTTTTCCCAGGCTGTAGCAAAGAGCTGGATCAGAAGTGGAGCAGCCGAGTCACAAACTGACACCCATATGGGATGCTGGCACAACAGGTGGTGTCACAGAACCAGCCCCAGAAATAGACAATTTGTAAAGTATTTCCCGTCTCAGATTTCTTTTTCTGACAGTTATCTTCTGAAAAACCCTGGGGCCTGCCTGTTGAAGAGATAGTATGTAGGCTGGCGCTGTGGCTCACTAGGCTAATCCTCTGCCCACGGCACTGGTACTCCAGGTGCTAGTCCCAGTTTGGGTGCCGGTTCTGACCCAGTTGCTCCTATTCCAGTCTATCTCTCGGCTGTGGCCTGGGAAGGCAGTGGAGGATTGCCCAAGTTCTGGGGCCCTGCACCCACATGGGAGATCAGGAGGAAGTGCCTGTCTCCTAGCTTTGGATCAGCACAACATGCTGGCCATAGTGGCCATTTGGGGGGTGAACCAATGGAAGGAAAACATTTGTCTCTGTCTCTCTCTCTCACTAACTCTGCCTGTCAAAAAAAGAAAAAAAGAGATAATATGTAGCCAAGATTCACCACAAACCCCAGACACTTAAGTGAAGCCTCAATCAGTTCCCCAAATGGCTAAACTCTCATTTCTGCTCCTGGACTGATCATAGGAACTGCCCAGCTGAGTACAGCCCATAACACAGAGTCAGAACTGCAAATCAAATGGCTATTTGTTAAGCCATTGTGTTTTCTGATTTGTCCTACATCAAATGCTGATATATATCAGTAAGTATGGAAGAAAGTTGAATTACATGCAAACTACAATGCATACAACTTCAAAATTTCATTTAGCAGTTCCTATAAAGCAGGGCCAGCATTGTAAACAAGTAAACCTGCTGTCTGCAATACAAGCATCCCATATGAGCACTGGTTCATGTTCTGGCTGTTCTGCTTTTGACCCAGCTTCCTGCTGATGGCCTGAGAAAAGCAATGGAAGATGATCCAAATACTTGGGCAAATGCTACCAATGTGGGAGACCCAGATGAAGATCTTAGTTCCTGGCCTCATTCTTTCCTGGCCCTGCTCAAGGCAGCCATCTGTGATGTGAACAAGCAGAAGGAAGATCTCTCTGGGTCTCTCCTCTATATACAATATTTTCAAATAATTTTTTTAAAAAACTTAGAAAAAAACTCCTATAAACAAAATCTTTGCCTATCAATTAGACCTTAGAAAAGCTGCTGATACTAAAAAAAAAAAAAAAAAAAAAAAAAAGAGTCCCGGGATTCATAAAAATAAATTATCTGGAGACCATAAGGTTGTTCTTCACATTTCGGCTTATATATACTCATTGTGTTCTTTTGGTTTATATTTTAAGAAGCTTATTATCATATGAAATCTAATTTAATATAATTTTACTATCTCAGAAGGCAGGATAAAGGTTCACAGTAATTTTCTGTAGCTGCATGTATACTGCATATTGTTCAAGAAGAAATTACTGAAATGGGAAAATTTTTATGATATGCTTTTTGTTTTTTTTAAAGATGTATTTATTTATGTGAAAGTCAAACTTATGCAGAGAGAGAGAGAAAGAGAGAGAGAGAGAGAGATATCTTCCATCTGATGGCTCACTCTGCAAATGGCTGCAATGGCCAGAGCAGCACCAACCAAAGCCAGGACCCAGGAGCTTCTTCCTGATCTCCCACAGGGGTGCAGGGACCCAAGGACTTGAGCCATCTTCTACTGCTTTCCCAGGCCATAGCAGAGAGCTGGATCAGAAGTGGAGCAGCTGAGTCTTGAACCCATGCCAATATGAGATGTGGGCACTTCAGGCCAGGGCATTAACCCACTGTGCCACAGCACCAGCCTCATGATATGTTTTTTGAAGTCATACACTCAAAACATAGCATTAGTAGCAAAAGGGAAGACATGCTCATGAAAGTTTTCTAAAGCAGTACTATTTGAACTGGTGACAATTTCTGAAATGGATCTGAAAAATAAATGTTTTTTAATTAAGTGTGGCAAGATAGAGAACATTAGACAGAAGTTAAGGTGCTGGGTATTTACAAATCATGTGAAACTACACAAAGCACTTTTCTCCTGAAATACAATTTGTTTCATCTTTTTTACAGAGATCCTGGCAAAACTTCCTTGAGCTACCAGGAAGGACTATTAGAATACAGGGGGCAGGAGTCCTCCAAGATGGTGGAATAGGGACACTGATAGTCCAGGAAAAAATACTTTAATAAAAGTGGAGATACTATAGTTTCAGGGAAGTTAGGGGAAAAAACTGCAGAAGAAACTCTTCCAGAACTAGTGGGACATGGTGGACCTACGTGGAGGGCATGGGTGCCCATGGCTCGGGACCCCAGCTGCCTAGTCTACACACCAGCACTGGAAAGGGAGGTGAGGCAAAACCTCAGTAGCCCAAGACATTTGCAGGAAAGTCACAGGAAGAGCCTAGAGGGAATGAGGCTTGAAACCCTGTGGGGGAAAGTCTACCAGGCTAACTAAAAGAGAGAAATAAAATAAAATAAAATAGAATAAAATAAAAGGGACCAGTATGGACATGATTCTCTGTCTCCACTCACCTTACAAAGGTGAGCAAGACAAAGAGCAGGCACCATTTTGGACATACGTAAAAGCTGTGCTGACTCTGGTGGGGAGAAATAAAAGGAGGTTAGGACCTAGTGAATGTGTGGGAGCTTATGAACTGTGACTGTGAAAAAAAAAAAAAAACTGAGGGTGTGTGAGAGAACTCATGGAGTTTCTGAGATGTGAGTACTCTTGGGAGACGCCGAAAACTTGGTAACCTTGGCAACCCGGGGGAAGACTGCAGGGGAATCTGAGCTTACACTGAGGACTGAACAGATCCTTTGTGTGGTCCTTGGGACAGAGCAGATGAATATTATACCCACAGGGGCCAGAGCTCAGACATTGACTGCCTTCAATTCCACTCAGCCGTGTGGAATTACTTCCCTTCTTAATAAAAAAAAAAAAAAAGAGAGAGAGAGAGAATGAGAGAGAAAGAGAAAAAATTTAATATGCCTCACCTGGGTATGTCACCCTTAACCCTGAAGAATCAGAGCTCTCTGGCCACACCCATCACAAGCCTCTAAGGATCCATCAAAAGCAGACAGTCCACTTAATCAAGTCATAGTATAACAAGAAAAACCACAACAGCGAAAAAAAAAAAAAAAAAAAAAAAAAAAGAAGCAACCAAAGAATATCTCCATAATGCCAAGCAACAAATGCAGAAACTGAGGAAACCAGAACAAGGAAGACATTATGATGCCCCAAAATGAACAAGACACCCCAAGTCAAGATTGTAAAGGTGATGAGATAGAAGAAATGCAATAGACGGATTTCCAAAAATATATGATAAGAACACTTAGAAGTTCTCAAAAACAAATTCTTGAACTACAGAAATCCTTACTGGACAGGGTAGAAAATCTCTCTCATGAAAATGAAATCTTAAGGAAAAATCAAAATGAAATGAAGCAATTAGTAGAACATGAAATTGAGATAGTGAAGAGAAATCAAACTGAAATGAAGAATTCAATAGATCAAATGAAAAATGCATTAGAGAGCCTTAAAAACAGAATCTGTGAAGCAGAAGAGAGAATATCGGACTTAGAATACAGAGAACAGGAAAGCATACAGTGAAACCAAAGAAAAGAAGAGGAAATTAGAAATCTAAAAAATATTGTGGGGAATCCTCAGAATACTATTAAAAAACACATCATTCAGGTTCTAGGAGTTCCTGAAGGCATGGAGATAGAGAAAGGCCTTTTTAGTGAGATACTAGCAGAAAACTTCCTGGGTTTGGAGAAGGACAGAAACATCCTAGTACAGGAAGCTCATAGAACCCCTAATAAACATGACCAAAAGAGATTCTCGACTTGACACGTTGTAATCAAACTCACTACAGTGAAACATAAACAAAAGATTCTAAAGTGTGCAAGAGAGAAATGTCAGATTACTCTCAGAGGATCTCCAATTAGACTCACAGCAGCCTTCTCATCAGAAACCCTACAGGATAGGAGGGAATGGCGAGATATAGCCCAGGTACTAAGAAAAAATGCCAGCCCAGAATATTATCTCCTGCAAAGCTCTCATTTGTGAATGAAGGTGAAATAAAGACCTTTCATAGCAAACAGACATTGGAAGAATTTGTCACCACTCACCCAGCCCTGCAAAAGATGCTTCAAGATGTGTTACACACAGAAACACAGCCATAAATATGAAAAAAGGTAAAGGAAGAAAATCTCCCAGTAAAAGATCACAGGAAGTTCAAAGCATATATTAGAAATATCTTTGGGAAAATGGCAGGGCAAAGTTACTACTTATCAATAGTCACATTGAATGTTAATGGACTCAACTGTCCAGTTAAAAGACACAGACTGGCCGAATGGATTAAGGAAAAAGACCCATCTATTTGCTGCCTACAAGAAACACATCTTTCCAACAAAGATGCATGCCGACTGAAAGTGAAAGGTTGGAAGAAGATATTCCATGCCAACAGAAACCAAAAAAATAGCAGGTGTAGCCATGTTAATATCAGACAAAATAAACTTTAACACAAAAACTATTAAGAGAGACAAAGAGGGGCACTATATAATGATTAAGGGAACAATTCAACAGGAAGACATAACAATTATAAATCTATATGCACCTAATTACAGGACACTAGTTTATTTAGAAGATATGTTAAGGGACTTAAAAGGGAGACATAGACTCCAATACATTAGTACTTGGGGACTTCAATATTCCACTCTCAGAAATAGACCAACCCAACAGAAGATCAACAAGGAAACAGCAGATTCAATTGACACTATAGCCCAAATGGATCTAACAGATATATACAGAACTTTCAATCCTACAGCTAAAGATTTTACATTCTTCTCAGCAGTGCATGGAACCTACTCTAGGACTGACCACATACTAGGCCATAAAGCAAGTCTCTGCAAATTTAAAAGAATTAGAATCATACGCTGCAGCTTCTCAGACTATAGAGGAATGAAGTTGGAAATTAGCAACTCAGGAATCCCTAGAGAGTATGCAAAAACATGGAGACTGAACAACATGCTCCTGAATGAACACTGGGTCATTCAAGAAATCAAAAGAGAAATCAAAAACTTTCTGGAAGTAAATGAGGATAACAACACAACATATCAAAATTTATGGGATACAGCAAAAGCAGTGTTATGAGGAAAGGTTATAGCAATAGGTGCCTACACCAAGAAATTGGAAAAACACCAAATAAATGAGCTTTCAATTCATCTCAAGGAATAGAAAAACTACAGCAAATAAGACCCAAATCTAGTAGGAGAAGAAAAATATTTAAAATCAGAGAAGAAATCAACAGGATTGAATAAAAAAAAATTACAAAAGATCAGCTAACCAGCTGTTTTTTTAAAAAAAAAATAAACAAAATTGACACCCCATTGGCCCAACTAACTAAAAAAAGAAAAGACCCAAATCAATAAAATCAGAGATGAAAAAGGAAACATAACAACAGACACCAAAGAAATAAAAAGAGTCATCAGAAATTACTACAAGGACTTGTATGCCAGCAAACAGGGAAAACTGTCAGAAATGGATAGATTCCTGGACACATGCAATCTACCTAAATTGAACCATGAAGACATAGAAAACCTACACAGACCCATAACTGAGATAGAAATAAAGGCCCTCCCAAGAAAGAAAAGACCAGGACCAAATGGATTCACTGCTGAATTCTACCAGACATTTAAAGAACTAACTATAATTCTTCTCAAACTATTCAGAACAATCAAAAAAGATGCAATCCTCCCAAATTCTTTCTATGAAGCCAGCATCACCTTAATTCCTAAGCCGGAAAAAGATGCAGCACTGAAAGAAAATTACAGACCAATATCCCTGATGAACATAGATACAAAAAACCTCAACAAAATTCTGGCTAATAGAATGCAACAACACATCAGAAAGAACATCCACCCAGACCAAGTGGGATTTATCCCTGGTATGCAGGGACGGTTCAAAGTTCGCAAATCAATCAATGTGATACACCACATTAACAAACTGCAGAAGAAAAACCATATGATTATCTCAATAGATGCAGAGAAAGCATTTGATAAAATACAACACCCTTTCATGATGAAAACTCTAAGCAAATTGGGTATAGAAGGAACATTCCTCAATACAATCAAAGCAATTTATGAAAAACCCAGGGGCAGCATCCTATTGAATGGGGAAAAGTTGGAAGCATTTCCACTGAGATCTTGTACCAGACAGGGATGCTCACTTTCACCACTGCTAGTCAACATAGTTCTGGAAGTTTAGCCAGAGCCATCAGGCAAGAAAAAAAATTAAAGGGATACAAATTGGGAAGGAAGAACTCAAACTATCCCTCTTTGCAGATGATACGATTCTTTATCTACGGGATCCAAAGAACTCCACTAACAGACTATTGGAACTCATAGAAGAGTTTGGCAAAGTGGCAGGATCTAAAATCAATGCACAAAAATCAACAGCCTTTGTATACACAGACAATGCCATGGCTGAGAAAGAACTGCTAAGATCAATCCCATTCACAACAGCTACAAAAACAATCAAATACCTTGGGATAAACTTAACCAAGGACGTTAAAGATCTCTACAATGAGATTTACAAAATCTTAAAGAAATAGAAGAGGATACAAAAAAATGGAAAAATCTTCCGGGCTCATGGATTGGAAGAATCAACATCATCAAAATGTCCATTCTCCCAAAAGCAATTTATAGATTCAATGCAATACTAATCAAAATACCAAAGACATTCTTCTCAGATCTAGAAAAAAATGATGCTGAAATTCATATGGAGACACAGGAGACCTTGAATAGCTAAAGCAATTTTGTGCAACAAAAACAGAGCTGGAGGCATCACAATACCAGATTTCAGGACATACTACAGGGCAGTTGTAATCAAAACAGCATGGTACTGGTACAGAAACAGATGGATAGACCAATGGAACAGAATAGAAACACCAGAAATCAACCCAAACATCTACAGCCAACTTATATTTGATCAAGGATCCAAAACCAATTCCTGGAGCAAGGACACTCTATTGAATAAATGGTGCTGGGAAAATTGGATTTCCAAATGTAAAAGCATGCAGGAAGGCCCCTACTTTACACCTTACACAAAAATCCAGTCAACATGGATTAAAGACTTAAATCTACGACCTGACACCATCAAATTATTAGAGAACATTGCAGAAACCCTGCAAGATATAAGCACAGGCAAGGACTTCTTGGAACATACCCCGGAGGCACAGACAGTCAAAGCCAAAATTAACAATTGGGATTGCATCAAATTAAGAAGTTTCTGTACTGCAAAAGAAACAGTCAGGAAAGTGAAGAGGCAACCGACAGAATGGGAAAAAATATTTGCAAACTATGCAACAGATAAAGGGTTAATAACCAGAATCTACAAAGAAATCAAGAAACTCCACAACATCAAAACAAATATCCCACTTAAGAGATGGGCCAAGGACCTCAATAGACATTTTTCCAAAGAGGAAATCCAAATGGCCAACAGGCACAGGAAAAAATGTTCAAGGTCACTAGCAATCAGGGAAATGCACATCAAAACCACAATGAGGTTTCACCTCACCCCACTTAGAATGGCTCACATTCAGAAATCTACCAACAACAGATGCTGTCCAGGATGTGGGGGAAAAGTGACACTAACCCACTGTTGGTGGGAATGCAAACTGGTCAAGCCACTATGGAAGTCAGTCTGGAGATTCCTCAGAAACCTGAATATAACCCTACCGTTCAACCCAGCCATCCCACTCCTTGGAATTTACCCAAAGGAAATTAAATTGGCAAATAATAAAGATGTCCACACCATAATGTTTATTGCAGCTCAATTCACAATAGCTAAGACCTGGAACCAACACAAATGCCCATCAACAGTAGACTGGATAAAGAAATTATG